CAATATTTAATTAATCCATTTAATTAAATTCAGTCCGTGAATTAATTAATCCAATTAATTAATTCGGGGTTATAAATAACCAATCCAATTAATTAATTTATCCAACGATTTTTAAATTAATTAATCGACAAATTCTAATATTCCAATTCTCTTTTGTGTGTGACCCATCAGATTCCCGATCACGATACCTAATGACGTGAAATATTATTTTGATCTAATCAAAATTGATAAATTAAAACACCCTTTTAATTTATCGTCAATTCACACTCGCCGTCTCAGATTGACATCTAGCAATATGTCAGGGCAATACATGTGACGGGAAATGTCATGTGGTATGACAAAATCAAACTCGTTCGTTTATCGTGAAACTATAATCCCTTCGTCAATATGATCCGATCAATTAAGAGACTTGGAATTGTGTCAATCCCAAATATCAATCATATCTTTCACTCTACTATTAAGTCAATAAAAGTCGAAAACTCCTTTTCGACTTATGAGTACACCTTAGCCAAGGATTTCATCATCGACTTAATTGAATGAAATGCAGATCATAATCTCCTACTATCTAAGTGTGACAAATCCTTTATTGATCAATCACAACTTTCATACGATTCTTGACGTACTCGAACGATGTCGTATTAGCGGCCCTTTTCAAAGCAACATCCAACACCGCTAAAGTATGATTGTCCTCATATAAGGTACCATGATGACCTCAAATCAAAGGACCAATTCCACTACCGAACGTTAGAGATTAACCACTGACACTCAGATAGTTATCCATGTGGAATCTCTCAGCGAATTTCCAATGTTTCGTTCTATAACAAAACATCCACGTGTTCATACACTTTAACTTGTGAGATCAGCTACTTATTTCACAAGTAAGAAATGCCACACGTGACGGTCTATCCATAATAACGATATCCGTATCTCGTTATTACTTACGACCACGGATGATTTAAGATTCAATCAGATGTAATTTGTATCTCACAATCACAACTCCTTGTGATTAGCAAATTACGAAAATTTGAATCTACGGACTCTATTATTTATTTAATTGTCTATTAATTAAATAATAGATCTACCATTAAATTGCATTAATTATATATCAAAAGTATTTATGTCCAAAGTTGATTGGACCTAGGGCATAATACTTACAGGAAGAGCGTCATCCCTGTGGATGCATGATAAGCTGTATTATACCAGTATTCGACGCATGGAAGTAGAGAACTCCATTTACGCGACTGTTGGTGGACAAAGAAATGAAGATACTGCTCCATGAATCGATTGACAACTTCATATTGTCTATCCGTCTATGATTGGTAAGCTGAACTCACCTTCAGCTGGGTTCCAGATAACTTGAGGAATTCACGCTAGAAGTTGCTAATAAAAGTAGGGTCACGATCGCTAACAATCGACCTAGGCATACTGTCTAATTTAACTACACCTTCCACAAATTTTTTTCAGCCACTATTTTTGCTGTAAAAGGATGAGCCAAGGCTAGAAAATGTGCTGATTTGCTGAGACGATCCACTACAACTAAAATTGTATCTTTGCCGTTTGATGGAGAGAGTCCTTGTTGGGTTGTGTGTCCATATAGTATATTTTGTTATAATAAAATAATAATTTATAATAAATAAATTGTGATTTTATTTATTTATTATTGAGCATGAAAATTAAAGTGCCTATGATCACTTGTAATAATATAAAGGGCTGTGCTACATGACCACATCGGTTGACACAAGGGTTGACACATCACAACACATGGGAGCTTGGCATTATTTTATTTGCGCGGGACCCACACCTTGACTATGAGAGGTGTGTCAACCTTTGTATCAAACAATGTGGTTGAGTAGCATTTTTCTAATATAAATTGGGTAGTTATAGTGTGACACGGCTTATATTTTGATCATAAATAGTTTGTTCACAACCAATGTATAAGGTTTGACACCTGGTGTTGGAAGGTTGTAATGTTGAGCGATTCATTATTCAATTTTGTGATTTGTTCTTATAAAAAAAAATAGTTAAAGGTGACACTATTATACTTGGAGTGTATTGAACGAACCGCGTGTCAAATTTAATTCTATAGCATGAGCGTCAGAGAATTAAATTCCACTTGACCGCTATATATTTCATCTAAATTCCTTTACAGGATTATGCATATCTTTACATGATATTAATGGTTTTTTGATTTATCAATATGTGATATCAATTTGATTGGTCAAATATTTCGATGAGTTGGGAATTTGAGAATGAGCAGAGTTGAGAATATGAATTCGTATCGGGAATCGTCATCCTGAAAAGTGGTAGAGTGAGTACTTAAGTTTTTTCTATTGAAAGGTTAAAATTCGAATTCTGTGTTTAGCAACCGCTAAACTTCGACATCTGCGATTAGTTTACAGGACTGTTGAAGAAAATGATATTTAAGTTAGTGAGAATAATTAGAGGGGCAAAACAATCATTTATGCTCCTACCTAATTATCTGACGGAAATATAATACATATGCTGAAGGTCAAAAGAAAGTATTATAGATTTATTGACTTTTGTGATCTTATTTATTTTAAGAGTTCAATCTTTTACTTTTAGTGGAACAAGCAAAGACTAATAATTAGATTGAATGGTCTATGGTCGACTAGACGGGATGTAATTATTGGAACTTGGATAGTATTGTTTAATCATGTCCCTATAGTAACTCTATAAAGTATTGGATTTTAATTACGATAATTGTAAAAGTTTTTGGCTTAATTGTAGTTACAATAAAGTTTTGTACCTGGTTATAATTACTATGAAATTTGTAAACTTAATTATAATTTTAATCGAAGTTTTAGGACTACACGTGTAACTAAATATAAACTAATTGGATTTAGACTTTAATTAAAATGCCTACTTGGATTTTTAACTAGAGTTCTTATTTGAATATGGAATTATTATTGTTCAAGGATTGTATCTATTCCATCTCTAAGAATAGAGATTAGATAGATACTAGACATCCTATGGGATTGTATAACAACAATAATACATAATTTCATAGAGTTCAAATTTAGAGACAGAAAAAGTGAGAGAGAAATTATTTTTCTTGCTTTTATCAACTGTCTAGATCAAAAATTAGTTCATTTATTTATTTAAAATAAGGTGCTTGCCCACCAATATAGTCTTGATTTTGGAGAATAACATAAAAAACTTGAAGGTTTGAAGCATCAAGTTTTTAGAATTAAAAAGTTGAAAGTTCGTGATTCAAAATTGATCATCGAATTTAGGAAAAAAATTGAATTTATAATATACATGTGAACATCTAGATAATCTTATTTATTGAATTAAAGACATTTTTAATTTTTGAATAATTCCTCTTCCACATTTTAATAGTCCTTCGATAAAATCCATGGTGATATCATCCCATACTTGGAATGGGTGAGGGTTGTAAGAGTCCCGCAGGAGACAATATTGCATCTTTTGCTCTTTGACGGATATCGCGAAAGGAGACATACGCATGTACCACCCGATGAATAGATGGCCAATAAAATTGACGGGCAAGTCTTTATATGTTTGCAGCACTGCTGAATGGCCCCCAATGTGTGAATCATAGAAGTCTTGCAAGAGTTGGTTAATTATAAAAGAACTGGGAGGCACTACCATACTGATTTTGTACAGTACTATCCCATTATGCCATGGGTAAGGGCCAAGGGGATCCCGGCTTGTCAGTGGCCAGCTTTCCTATTTTCTCCATATAAGCGTCTCCAATTGCTGCTCCCTTAATGTCTTCCCATATTTGAGCCGGTGACACAAACAAAGCATTAAAAGTTGGAGTGTTGGACTGCCCACCATTCGTGAGAGTGGCATCTGCTGCTGAATTTTCTCTTCATGGCATATAAAGTACTTCATAGTCATATCCATGCAGCTTAGCCACCCATTTTTGTTGCTCTAGCATGACCATGTGTTGTTCAAATAAGTATTTGAAACAACTTTTGTCCGTTTGAATGTAGAATTTTCGCAACAACGAGTCTGGTCACCAAGTTCTGATTGCTTGAATAATGACAAGCATTTCTTTGGCATACGTGGACCATAACAGTTTGGATATCCCCAATGCTCAGCTCATGATAGCATTTAGTCTACCTTGTTGAGTTAGCACTGCACCGATTTCATCCCCCAAAGCACCAGATTCAATAATAAAAGGCTCAATAAAGTTAGACATTGCAAGAGTAGGAGTGGAATTCATAGCCTTCTTTAGGTCATTGAATGCTATCTCGGCGTCTTCTGTCCATCCAAACTGACCTTTCTTCAATAGATTAGTGAGTGGTCTGGCCAAGATCCTATAACTGCGAACAACTTTCTGTATTAACTAGTGAGGCCCAAAACCCCACGTAACTCTGAAATATTAGTAGGCCGAGGCCAACTTAATATTACTTTAATTTTGCCTTGATCCACCTTCACTCTCCGTGGAGTAAAAATATGGCCCAAATACTCCAAATCTCTCCCGGATAATACTGCCGTTAGAGCGCCAAGGGAGTGCCCGGATTGCCGTAGCTTTGCCACTCTAGCGAAACGTTGGCTATAGCTTTCTGCTTTGTTTTCCTCCTCGATGCTCGAGTGCCAAAGCTAGCGGCCAGCTAACGAAATTGCAATGATTTTTTCTCGACGAAAACTCCAAAACCAAGCCTTCAATTGTCCAAAGTGCTTTTACCAATCGAACTTCCAATTCTTGATGAACTTTGATCCCCTTTTTAATTGCACTTCCAAACCAAGAAGACTTTTGTTCCTTTTATTAATTTACCAATCCAATCCTATCTCAATAGGAATTTTAGTCATACTCTAACAATTGTTTTTCTAATTTCATATTCTAACTTGATTATTGATATTTCTCACTTGCTCTTTATTTTATTTAATTTTGGACTTTTAGGTAGTCTATAGTTTTGTTCAGTTTGACCTATGAATATGATGATTTAGTGCTTCACATTTCTTTTGTGTGATTGTATGAGTTTTCAATTTGTTTGATTTCAGGTGAAAAGGGAGGAAGATTAGGGAGCTGACATCAATTGTGCAGAAGAGGTTCAGGTTTCCAGAGAACAGTGTGGTGTTGTCTGCCGAGAACGTTAACAACTGGGGGCTTTGTGCCAGGTCCCACCGATACAAGCTCCTTGATGGCCTTGCCATGAGGAGGTAAGTAATTCTGTTGTTCAATCATATCCTGTTCCGGGACATGTATGTAAGATTTTGGTGTTTGATGGACAATCAAACTTTTTTTGGAAAAATTAGTATCTTTTGAGTTTGCATTCTATACTTGACTATGTTTTGACAGGCCAGATTATGGATTAATCCCTTTTATGTTTGTTGTATGGATTTTATAATTTGGTAGTTCAATTTCATGTCCATTTAGTAATCTTGAAGAGAGAGTGTTTAACAACCTATTCTAAGCATAGACAACAGACAAAAAACATTGTTAAAATGTTATCAGCAACATTCAAAAAATCTTGTAAAAATGTTATTAGCTAAATTTTAAGAACGTTGCAAAAAAAATTATTAGCAACAGTTAATGAACATTGCTAAAATCGAAGACAAAGTTCTCTTCAGGCTTTTTGCAACAATCATTGAACATTGTCTTGCCCATCAACTCTATGACAATATCGAAGTCCGCAACATAGTCCGAACATAGCAAAAGGTCATTCGCAACGCTTTTTTGCCCGTTGCAAAAAACTATATTTGTTGTAGTGATTAAATAGCGATAGGATATCTGAAACTATTTCAAATCTAATCTACCTATAATTTTGACATTTACATTGGTTGTTCTATCCTAACTTCAAATTTTTACATTCTAGTAATCCATTATACCTTTCAAACATTTTTATCTTGTGCTCGGTAAAAAATTCTTGTTCCACTTGATTCGTTCACATTTGCTTACATGTTTGTTATACATTTCTTCGTGTCTTCCTCAGGGGATGCTATGGTGTGTTGAGATTTGTTATGGACAGTAATGCTAAGGGTTGTGAGGTATGCTCTTTGTCTTGATTCTAGAGGCCACCACTTTATTTCACTTCAATTTTAATGGTGTTACGGAATGTGGCATAGGTGATTATTAGGGTAAAACTGAGGGCTCGACGTGCTAAATCCATGAAGTTCAAAGATAGCTACAAGGTTTCTTCAGGTCAGCCAGTGAAAGAATACATCGACTCTGCTGTCAGACATGTTTTCCTTAGACAGGTTCGTAAAGGGGCATTATTAATTGCTATATTTATGCTGTACTCTTCTTTTATCTTTCTGAACTTCGAGTATGTTTGTTGACACATAAAAATTCAGCCCAAATTGAACGGCCCAAGGAATGAAGCCCAATTGGAAGATCCCCAAATCAGATAGCCCAAAAAATGAAGCCCAATCAGACAATTCAGGATGAAAGCCCAAATAGGGAGGCCCGTGAACGCGACAATACCATCCCCCAAGCTTGCAAGTCGCCCAGGATTTGAGCGAATGGAATGCCATGCAGTCGCCCAGAACTGCTACTCTATTCTCGCCCAAACCTTCGAGTCGCCCAAGGTCTTAGCAAACATGAAATGTTATGGTTATCAACAAGCGCAGTTATCAAAGCAGTTATTAAGCAGCGCTATCACGTTCCACGATTCAAGGAATTCAATCAAAAACGGTTGAATGACAAAGAGTAATGGCAGCAGTTAAAAAAGGCAGTTTCATAACAAGTTGGCCATTACGAGGAAAGTGGGCAGTTATAGAATGATCAAGTAGTTTTTAGGCGGTTGATCACAAAGAGATCATCCAGGGAGTATAAAAGGAAGAAAAGACATAGAGCAAAAGCCCCGGAATCAAAAAACTTTCGAACAGAGAACATGTAATTTTAAATTTCTTAGTTTAGATTTAAACACTTCTTTCAGTAACTCGTGTGCTTGCACTCCTTGGAGGCATTCTGTTTTTACTTTTCGATTGTAAAGACATCGCCAATAAAGAACACCCCTTTTTGAGACTTTGTCTCAAGAGGTTTGTCCCTTATACAATCGTCTGATTCCTTTTTAATTGTTAGCGACTAACCTGCGCGAAATAATTTGGCACGCTCGGTGGGACAGTGGTGTTTGGTGTTGAAAATACAAAAGGTGAAACAATATGCCTCAGAGATCCGATAAGGAAGCAGCAAGTCAAGGAGGAGTCCAGTCTGTGATCGAGCGATATGAGGAGCAGCATGCCTCTCCACGAACAGATGGACAAAATCAGAGCAATAACAGTCGTTACGAACCAATGACAGAGTTGAGTCCTCGAACTATGCGTGCACTACTTGGAGAACTCACACAAGATGTCGTTGAACATGTAAATCTTCGAAATATTCATAATATGGAAATATTTACCCAAAATGGGAATGCACATTATGACAACATGGCCAAACAACTAAACACTTTGAACAAAATAATGAATAAGTTAGTAGGCCAAATATGTCAACCGGTTATGCCTCTTGCAAATCACTTTCAAACTAGGACAATTGTGGGACATAATCCCTCAGTCCTAAATCCGAATCAAGGGATAGAACCACTTTCTGATCCCTCTACTTCAAACTAAGGGGGTGGTGCAGTGCCAAATCAGAACAATGGTAGTGGTACGCCTAACTTGGGGGGTAATCCAAATGTAAGAGATAATGTCCTAAACAATGGGCAGAATACTCCACGTGTTAATGAGGGAATAGATGTTCAGGCTAATGGTAATGACCCTAATCATGGTAACTTTGTTGCCAATTAAGGACCAAACATCAGGCCTCATGCAAATCAACCGGTTAACCAACCTGTAGGAATTCCATATGACCCCAACGTCATGTTGAGGAATCAGATTATGAAAATCGTACAGGATCGGATGGCTTTTGGGGTGCGTCCTGTCATTAGGCCGACTTACACAAAGCCATATCCTGATTGGGTAGACCAAGCATATCCATGGCCTAGAGGGTATAAAGTGCCAGAATTCTCACTGTTTACCGATTTAGGAGAGGTGTTTACTCTAGAACTCATAGGGCGATTCACATTGCAAAGTGGTGATGTAACTGATTACCATAAAATGAGACTTTTCCCTAGTTCATTAACAGGAGTAGCTTTCTCCTGGTTCATCAACTTGCCAGCGAACTCTGTTTAGACATGGCAACAATTGGAACAATTATTCCACACTCAGTTTTATAAAACTGAGTCTGAAGTCACTTTGGCTGATTTGGCGAATCTACGTCAAATGCCAAACGAATGGGCAGAAAGTTTTCTCCAAAGGTTCAAAACAGCAAGAAGCAAGTGTTTTGTACCTCTGCCGAAAAAAGAATTTGTCAAAATCGCTCAGAGCTGTTTGAGCTTTGATTTAAAAAAGAAATTCCAAGACAAAGAATTTTCTGACATTTTCCACTTGAGTGCGAATGTGATTAGGTATGAACGACTGATAAGAGAAGAAGAGCAGATGAAAAATTCTAGTAAAGGGACTTATTACAAAGACCCAAATTTTGACGTTTATACCATCAGCGACGAGTCATACGATCAAGCCGAAATGTGTTTGGCCGAATTGGTCAAAGGAGACACGTATACTTGTCGATAAGCAGATAAAGTTGAGCGATAAGCATAAATTGCCAAACCCTGAACAAGTTAAGGGTAAAAAATATTGTAAGTGGCATAATGCATGGTCACATTTGACTAACAATTGCTTGATTTTTCGCCATGTATTGCAGGATGCCATTGAATCAGGACGAATTACATTCGACGATAAGAAGAAGATGGCAGTGGATGAAAATCCTTTTCCGCAGCCACTTGGAGTGAACATGTTGACGTCTGGTTTCAAAAACAAGTTGCCAAAATTCAAGTTGGTCATAGATGATGGAGAAGAGGACTCTGGACCACATCCCAATGTCTTTAAACGAATCAAGGGGAAAGAGCCAAAAAAGGACGAAGACGTCCTGTGTGCAAGATGTAAAAGAGAAGTGAGTGGGAACACGGAGAAACCAGGGATATGGCAGCATCCCCATCGCCCTACGTTCTTCCCAAACACTCAGCCTAGTAGAGGGCGAGGTACATCATTCTATAGAGGACCTTTTTTTGAAAGGCAGTTCATGCCAGTAGATAATGGGAGAACATTCAGACCGCAACCTCGCTGGCCAAATCTATGGCATTCGTTCCAGTATAATGCAGGAAGAGCAGTACCCTTCGATGAGATGACTAGAACCTAACAAAGGCGTTTCTAACGAAACTATGGATGAATGATGAGGTAGCAACAGGGAGTGCCACATCCTAAAGCGCCTAAACTACTCAATGTAGCCAATCAAAATGTTCTCAAAGATAGTGAAGAGACCGGTACAGATGAATCAATGAAAGAACTGTCAGAGACTTTTTTTGGGAGATCAAAGTTTGAGCGAGACAGAAGGGATGGAGAAGATCCAGATCAGCCCCTTACTATCCAGTTCGGTACGTTACCTCCTATCGTGGCTAATAATTATTTACTGGCTAATGAATTCAAGAATAAAGAAAAAGAAGAAGAAGAAAGGGAGGACAACGAAGGAGAGGCTTGCGTGCTGGAATGTAAAGAAGGCCAGACTCCTGGAGAGGCCTACAATGATGAAGAAGATGACCGGATGACAGACATTGAAGAAGAAATCGACCTAGAAGCAGAAAGAAGAAGGAGAGGAATATCGCACAATACTCTGTTGAAGCAACTACATCGAGAGGGAGTTCGCGAAGTAGACTTGTTGGGAGAACCATCTGGGCGACCTTTCGATTTCTACGTACTATACGGGACGCCCAAAAGGAAGAAGAGAGTGCCTGGCTCTGAAAAGTATGGATCACCTCCAAGAATAATGCCCCCTTCCACAGGTTGGGTAACTGATGATGAAGCATTAGAAAACAGTAAGGAGGAAATTTAGGAGACAGAGGCTCAGCACGATATGCTGCACGTCAACTTATCACAGGGGGATAATTCGACAGAAAACAAGCAGGAAGTAGAAATAGAGGCTGCTAAAAAGGTTATTTTTAAACGGCCAGCCATAAAATTGACTAAACACTTAAGACCATTATACGTTAAAGCTCTAGTTAACGGCATCCCTGTGGCAAAAGTGCTTGTCGACAATGGAGCAGCTATAAACACCATTCCATCTAGGATGATGAGGAAATTTGTAAAGACAGAGGGTGACATGATTCCAACAGAAGTCATCCTTACGAGTTTCAATGGAGGAGCAACTTCAGCTAAGGGAGTTATGCTATTGGACATAACTATAGGTACAACTACTTGGACCACAGTCTTCTTTGTAATAGATGGTCCTACTAGTTAAAATGTGTTACTAGGAAGAGATTGGATACACGAAATTCGCTGTATACCCTCATCGCTCCATCATTGCCTGATTTTTTGGAATAACAAGGGCGAAACAGAGGTGGTATAGGTCGATCATAGGCCTTTTGTCGCAGAAGCAAACTCGGTGGAAAAGTTCACGTACGAAGGAAACTATGGACCTGTCAGGGTAATACAAGATGGGGAAGAAACTCAAGTTGTCCGCAAAGCGAAGAGCCATTTTCAATGGACGCACTCACTAAAATGTTCAGACAGATGAGGCCAAATATAGTGGCCCTAGAAGAACCAGTAATTGGCAAAAGAATAATTAAGGAGTCTTGAATGAGTTCTAAGCAACAAGAGCAAACGGCCGATATTCAGGCCTTCAAAGCCAAATTAATGGCTTTCAATAAGGAATGCAATGACAAGACGAAAGAAGAGACAGCCCTGAAAGCGCTGAAAGACAAATTAGCAGTATTCGAGTTAGAACAAAGCATTGGTCGAAAAGTCAACAAGGTGGACTGTTTAGAAGAAGTAGTACTTACAAGGGGACTGGACGACGAAGTAATGCGGATCATCAAACCTGGATACGCTCAAGCATAAGACCCTCTGATCAAAGTAAATATTGACAATGAAGGAGAAGATCGTCCAACATTCATCAGCCAGATGCTCGATCAAGAGGTTAGTGATAAATTAATCGCTTTGCTAAATGAGTATAAAGATTGTTTTGCTTGGGAATATGAACAAATGCCTGGTTTAGATAGAGACTTGGTGGAACATATTTTACCAACTAAGCCTAATTTTAAACCTCATAGGCAGCCTCCTAGACGTTTTGCTCCTAATGTACTCCCTGAGATTAAGAAAGAGATAGAGCGATTATTGAAAGCAGGCTTTATTAAACAACCAGGTATGTCGAATGTTTGTCCAAT